TCTGTTCAGATGTAGACAAACTTCAAGATATAGGAACTTCGTGAAAAATGATCGTAATGAGATTTTTAAAAAAGCATTTTAAAGCTTGAAATCTTTACTATCGAAATCGGTAATCGATATTTCGATATGACTGGTTTTTACGGAATTATACAAACAGAAGTGGATATTCGTCAAATCTGAAAATTTTGTACAAATTTTACAAAAGTTTATGGCATAAACTAAAAATCGCATACAAATGCGGTTTTAAACATTCGAAAGAGTGAATAAATGTCGAATAACTCGTCGAAAAAAATCGTACAACGTTCAATAAAAAAGCAAATTGAAGGTAAAGATTCACTCTTTCGACTATTTAAAACCGCATTTGTGTACGATTTTTAGTTCATGCCATACTTTTGTAAAATTTGTACAAAATTTTCAGATTTGACGGATATCCACTTCTGTTTGTATAATTCCGTAAAAATCAGTCATATCGAAATATCGATTACCGATTTCGAAAGTAAAGATTTCAAGCTTTAAAATGCTTTTTTAAAAATCTCATTACGACCATTTTTCACGAAGTTCCTCTTCAAAACAAAATTTTCAGATTTGACGGATACTCATTTCTGTTCGTATAGCTACGTAAAAAATCAATCAAATCGAAATATCAATTACCGATTTCGAAAGTAGAGATTTCATGCTTTAAAATGTTTTTTTAAAAATTTCATTATGATTATTTTTTACGAAGTTACACTCTTCTGAATTTTTACCTATTTTTGAGGGTGGACTAAGTGATCCTTTAATTTTTTTGCGTAGTGTATAAACTGAAAAATTTAAAAAGGGCAAAAAAATGTATTTACTATAACATAATTATACTAATAATTATTAAATTATTCTACATTAACCTGAATGCTTCTTTTGGTATGTTATTCTGTTGTCGAATCTTTTGTTATCATATCGCAATATATATTGTAAACAAAATATTATAATTCTGTTATATGTATAAATTAAATTGAACATCATTTGCGGATTAATTGTAAAACTCTAAGTATTCACTAAATTAAATAAATATAATAATACAGCTTCTCTCTCTCTCTCATACATAGTTAAAGAATTTATAAATTAATACAATTTTCTTTCGAAATCTTTTCAGAATATGTTAAAGTAATATTTTCTCTTTTACGTGCAAAAAGTAAATTTTGCAATAGTTTAATAATGCTACTTATAATATACAGTGTCTGGCAAATAGGATATAACTACAACTTTTGTACTGTGGTCTTTTTATATATCCTTAGCCAAATAATAAGTTTTTAATAACTAATCTTTCGATAGTATAACTATATACATCTGCTAATTAACGTCTAATATCTGCATAATTAACGTCGAATTTAAATATATTAGCTTGTTCATTTGTTTTTATTATAATTAAACTGGCACATTTATAAAGTGGCCATGAAATACTCTTTCATTTTACCAAGGTGCTTGCTCTTGACCAATTTCAGAAACAAAGTATTGCTTTAAGTAATTTCTCATTCCGTTTGCAATGCGACTACTTCTATTTGCACCTACTCTACCTAAGTTGTAAAACAATGATTGACTAATCTGTGTATTCCGTGTTTCAATTTCATCATTGTGCTCAGTATTCATAAACTCTTGAGGGCAATATTCAGAACGATTACATGTAATCAAAAAATTATGTAGACATATTATGGCTTTTACAATCTGTTCAGCATGTTCTGGGGAACAGCTTAGACATGAAAGCAAAATTTCCCATTTTATTGTCAGAATTGCAAACGCGTTCTCAATTGTTCTCCTAGCTCTTGACAACCGATAGTTGAAGATGCGTTCATTATCAGCCATTCTTTCATTTTTCTTAGGAAACGGTCTCATCAAGTACTTCCTCAATGGAAATGCTTTATCCGCAACAAAGACGTAGGGAAATGGAACATCTGTACCAGGGAGTGAAGAAGGTAGTGGTAAATTAACTTCTCCTGCTTCTAAATCCTGCGCAAAATCCGTATTGTTCCAAACACCACCATCACTCACTGATTCTACAAACAAAAATATGATATGGATTACTTATAATACTGCATTTTATTTAGATAATCAAGATAATAAGATGCACTATTATATATTGTATACCATATTGTCCAATATCCACCCATGTAAACTTATACTCTGCATCGCAAGCAGCCATCAACACAATGCTGAAGAATTTCTTATAATTAAAAAACTTGGACCCTGACATGGGAGGAGCTTTAATGCGGATATGTTTCCCATCAATGGCACCAAGACAATTAGGAAACTGCCATTTTTCCATAAATCTATTCGCTACTTCATTCCATGAATTATGATCCATTGGTGGGAGAAAAATGTGTTGTAATGCTTCCCAAATCCCTTGACAAGTCTTAGGAATGATTTTATGCGCTGTTGATCTTCCTATGCGGAACTCATTGTGTTTGCTCAAGATAGAATCTCCTTGTGCCAGATATCTAAAAATAGTAGAATTGTATCAAATACCGAATTTCAATACAAACTAATTTCCTGAATACTCACAAAAGGGTCACTTGTAAGCGTAGCTTAGGATCTAACGGAGTCCTCCGGCTTCGTTTCTGCAATTTATCTTGCACTTGATCAAGTAGCCAATTAAACTGCTCGGGCCACATTCGAAAAATATGATAGAATTCCTCGTGATCTTGGGTCTCCATTTCTCTAATAAGATTTAAAAGGAAACCTTGTTCATCTTTATTTCGATTTATAGGACGGACCCACCATCTTCTTCTTCCATGGCCACGTCCTCTTTGTTTTCGTTGTTTCCATTGTAATGTCAAATGCTGATGATACGCAATGAAGAACAAACTTGTCGCAATTAATTGATAATCCATTCTCTCGTGGCAAATAATAACCTATTTAGCAAGAACTTTTTGAAAGAATCACGTTTTCTCTTCTTAAGGGGTTACACCACTGTAAAATTTTCAAAAAATCGATTTCTTTTTATTGGCTTAAAAGATACTATGAAACCTCTAGAATACGGAGGAAAAAGATTTATACCTGCCCGTAATCGTTTTCATTGAATTCTTGACCCTTTTTCCGAGCACCTCGGATGGTTCTGAAACGACTACCTGCGCAAAACCGTTGCCCGTGCGGCAGATACTGTTCTGACCGCCCATTTGAATTCTATCTTAACGAAATCATCGATAGATGTCTTGAGAAGTATGTTAGACGCCGAGTCAAAGAAAGTACGTTAGTGTTGCGTCATCTCGTCGCCTGAAAGGACGTAAATTCGTCGCATAAATTCCTTGGATGCACGATTTTTTGTGTAGCGCTGAGTTTTTACAGTTTATTCGCAATCTTAAAAGTGTCATTAAGTTACAATGAGTGACAAAAAAGTGTACACGGGCAAGAAAGGAACAAAAACATCGTACCCAACGCGGCGTCGAAACAGTGTGACAAAACGACGACCGTTAAATAGATTCGAAGTAGAAGATGGTTCGTCGGGAGTTAGTGCTTCTGCTAAAAAACTGAAAGTTGATCATGACGATATACTAGGTGTACAAATAAGTTTCCGGGTTTTTTTGATCCATGAAAAATGCAAAATTTCAAGAAAAAAACAAAAAACGGTTTATTCAAAGTATCGTCCCTCGCTAGCTATACATTTTCGCTATCTCTCTTGCAATGCATGAATACCGCGACGATAGAACGACTCGTTTTTGGTCCGAAACCATTTATCTATCCGATTTCGCACTTCTTCGAAACTGGCC